ACTATTTACCTATAAACATTTAACATAACATCATGCATAAAAGATACACCCTTAATAAAGTGTTTGGTAATTCTTTTGCAGTAGAAAATATAATAAGCATTTCTTAATCTTCTGTCCCATTCTCAGCATTCTAACCACTATCATACTCACCTCCAGGCAAAGAAGCAAAAGCTTTTCTCCATGTTCCTTTCAATGTATCACTAGGTGAAAAGTGAGTAGGCCAAAAACCACTATGACTATTTACTTACCTTGGTTCCAGCTTTAGACATTTTTGGTGCATAGGTTGGTTTCCCCAGTGTTGAAAGAACTCCAGAAATAGCTACAGGGAGTTAGAGGCACAGAGACATTTATACTGGGCTGGTTTCAAATCAAACATTTGCTTAGTCATGAGAATAGGATCCAAAAATTGAGTCAGTCATTTAGAGGCTATTGATGGTTTCTAGAAAAACAATTGGGATTATGAAATAAAGGAAAGCTTCAGTACCCTCTTTAATGCTTACCAAGCCCTACTGCATTATAGACTTTGCTGAGTCAAGACACCAAAACTCAGCCAAAGGTTTGAAAATTAAAAACAAAAAAAGCTCCTCTTCCCTGGGCAATTTGGTTTTTTAGCAAGCAGCCTCTTTGAAATTCCTATGGTCTTTTTTTCTTCAACAAAGCTTGCAAGAGGTGAGTCAAAAGACCACCCTCTATTTCTGGATAGAAGTGACATATTCCAAAGGCAACAAAACTTACATGACAACTAAAGGTAATGCATGCTCTTGTTTTTGCAGGGGTGCGGGAGGTGCAGGGGAAGACCACTAGAAAGGACATTTTGGGGACAATTATAAAAAATTTTAATATGGACTGTGTATTAGGTAATACTATTTTATCGATGTTTGACTTCTTGAGTTTGATCATTGTACTATGATTACATAAGGGAATGCCTTTGTTTTTAGGAGATGCATACTAACGTAGTAAGAGTAAAAGTCCAAGATGTCTACAACCTACTCCCGAACTGAGCCAAGATAAAATAATACTACATAGAGTGGTAAAGTCAATGTGGCAAAATGTTAACTATTGGTGAATCTAGACAAAGGGAATGAGAGTTCACTGACCTATTCTTGCAACTATTATTTAAGTCTGATTTTTTTTCAAAACACAAATCAAAAAAGAAAGAGGTCTAATCCATAAGAAGGGTACCACAGTATGTAGAGAGACAGAAAGGCATTTTGGGACTCCTGAATTTGCAAAGGTTTAGTACCGCCCAACTTGCCACCTGTTAGGTGGTCTTTCTCTGCCCACGATATCGTACTGTGACCTATTCAGAGAACATTTTTTGGCCCTTAATACACCTCTGACTTTAGGACTGAGATAACACACTATGTAAACTCAAAGAAACAACAAATCAACTTTTTTCTATTTAAATTTTCCTAGTCAAGTATATTCTTCTCAAAAGTCCATCTTCCTCATCTTTCTACTAACAAAGCTATCCTACAAATATTTTCATAAATGGGATACACCCAAGAAGTACTATAGTCAATTCAGAAAATGGCAAATGTGTCTTGCTATGAAGATTCTTGAGAAACAAAGTATCAAGTCTTATGCTTAGTATTCTGAATTTTATAAACCTTAAAGAAAGTATCTTATTAATACTATTAATTTCATTAACAAACAGCAATTTTCAAAACACACTTCTGTTACTCCAGTGTTTCTTTATTTGGTAATGCTCTGTTTGCTTGAACTTACTCTTAAAATAAAAACCATAAAAACTTCAGTTAGAATTAACAAACATTCTGAGGGTTAATTTTCACTTTACAAATATAAGAGCAGGCTGTTTTTTGATATAATTACTAATTAAATGGCCAATGAGCATATGAAACAATGTTTATCAGTGATCAGTTTCATTTCACTAACTTGATCACTGTTTTTCTTTACTTGAAAGAACAGGGCTTTCCCAATCAAACGTAAACTTTATTTTGATATGATGTCACAGGATGACATTGGAAACGTTTTCCAAAATTAAAAGTAAAGCTTTATCCTTTTACCAAAAGGAGAAAATTACTTTTTAGAGTTTGTTTACTGAAAATTTAAAGCAGAAAGTGAAAAACAAAGATATTTACACAATTTCATCAAGTTTTGTATTTTAAGGACTAAAATATCTTTATATAAAACTATTTCTGCTATATTTATACACCAACAAATCATACTTTCATTCTATTATTTTTTAAAATAAGTAGTAATTTCTTTTTAAATAGTTACAAAGAACTATAAAACTCTTACTTAACTCTAGAAAGGATGAAACCCTTTCATGATACAAATTAAAATATGAAATATATTTGCAAATCTACACTCAATCACTTTAATTTTAACACGTATACAATGGGACGGCCTTCATCAACTTTTTCATTTTGGCATCACAAAGATGGTCTGATGTTCTACAAACAGTATGTTTATATGTAAATCAGAAGTTTAGCTAAAATTCACCCTAAACAGTAATAACTGAGAACAGAATGAAAATCAAGGAAAGGTCTTCAATAGGAAGAAAAAGTCCCACAGTCTCTTAAGCAGTAAGAGCGTCTTCCCAATGTAAGTTTCAAGATGGGCACCGTCCTCCATTTGTCCTCATGTTTCCAGAGCGCTGAATATAACAAAAGAAATATTAATATTAATTACTTAATTTCCTTCTGCCATTATGCAAATAAGAAAAGAACTTACATTCACAAAATCACATAAATCAGGGTGAGAAGACAGTTTAGAGTAATAAAATATATAAAGTTTAAAGTTAATTATATTCCTTTTTTCTAAGTGTCAGATTAGTTCATAACGGAAGAAAAGAAATCCATACATAGACATAAAAAACTAGCACACTGGGGGGTTAGTATAAACTAAAATTTTTACCCTCTTATAGTTCCCATTTCCTTTCTATAGTCCCCAAGACTTCCAGTTCTTAATCTCAGCATTTACTAAATATTGTAAAATTCATTTTTTAAAATTAATATACACTTCAAAATGCAAATTATATATAAAGTAAGCAACAGAATACATTTTTCACAGCTTTGGAAAACTACATTTCTTTAAAAAGTTACACACATGTCCTTGCAGTACCACTCCTAGATATATACCTATGAGAAATGAAAACATATGTCTGCAAAAAAACTTGTACACAAATGTAAGTAGCAGCATTATTCTCAACAGCTGAAAAGTAGAAACAACCCAAATGTCCATCAACTGATGAAAAGACAAAGTGGTATATCCATCCAATGGAATATTATCTGGGCATGAAAAGGAACAAAGTACTGATACATGCTACAACATGAATGAACCTTGAAAACATTATGCTAAGTAAAAGCCAGACACAAAAGGCCACATGTTGTATGATTCCATGTATATGAAGTGTTGAGCATAGACAAAGTAGATTAGTGGTTGTCAGGGGCTGGGGGGAAGAGGAGATAGGGTTGAAGGAATAAGCTACTGCCCGTGTGTATGGGCTTTATTTGGGGGTGATGAAAATGCTCTGAATTTGTTCATGATGATGGTTGCACAAACTTGTGACTATACTTAAAAGCCACTGAATTCTTCACTTTAAAAAGGTGAATTTTAATTCACATAATTTTATGTGTATTATATTTCAATAAAAATAAAGAATAAGTTTTCTCTCACCCTAGAGACCCAGTCTCATTTCTCAAAGACAAACACTGTTTACAGTTTATCTTTTCAGAAAATTTTAGATGTGTATCAGCATATGAGTACATATGATAATCCCTGTCTTTTTTCAAACATACGAGGCAACATTTTACTTTTTCCCCTAAGCTGAGAAACAATTCAATATCAGAACATACAAAATATATCGTTCCTTTTAAAGATGCATTCCACGGTATGGATGAATCAGTCCATTAGGTACCAGCCCTCTACCGAGAAGCATTTGGGTTGTTTCCAATCTACAATTATTTCAAACAATGCTGCAATGAACATCTTTTTAAACAAATCTTTATAGGTTACAAAATTTCAGTTAGACAGGAGGAATAAGTTCAAGAGATCTACTGTATAACATGGTATCTGTAGTTAATAACAATATATAGCATTCTTGAAAAATGCTGAGAGTAGATTTTAAATATTCTCACCACAAAAACGACAACTATGTGAGGTAATGCATATGTTAATTACAGCTTGATTAGCTATTCCACAGTGTGTATATATTTCAAAATATTAGGTTGTATTTGATAAATACATAAAATTTTGTCAATCTTAAAAAATTAAAGTAAAAAATTAAATAAATTTTTACATGCACGAGTATATCTGTAAGATAAACTCTAAGAAGTGAAATTGCTAAGTGAAAGAATATTTGTATTTTTAATTTTGATTTTGTCAAATTGCCGCCAAAAGAGGCCACACACATTTACACTTTCACAGTGTTATATACCACCAGTTTTTGATCCTTTCCAATCTGGTATATAAAAAATAGTACCTTACATTTCTTCAATTTTAAGTGAGCACCTTTACGTATTCTGTTCTTTGTCTTATTCACGTCCTTTGTCTGGTTTTCTACTGTTAGTTTTTAAAAATACTTTAAAGCAACAAAGTAAACAAATTTGTATTTTAAAAAGAATACCATATATTTGGATTAAATAACTCCCAATAAACATGTATCCATGCTCTCTTCCATTTAATCTATGATCTTCTAGTGTTCAGTAATCAAATCTTCATTTGGATTAATTCTAGTAATTTATTACCGCTCATATGTGCAATTAACAAAGATCACCTTATTTATTAATTGGTTTGGAGGCGACGGGAAAGAGGAAAGATGTGTTAGAAAGAAGGAATAAAACTTAAAGTTATGTATGGGGGTGAAGTGGTATCTTTGTACAGTACAACTTATATAAAAAGCAAAAAGGACAAAACTAAGTCATTATATTTGCCCCAAATTCTATAGTTTCCACCTGAATATTTTGGTTGGTCTTTTCACTGTATAATATGGTAAATATGGATATGTAAAGGTCTGTGTATGCTGGAAGGTGTGGTGGAAAAAAAACTGGCAACGGTTAGTAACATAATACCCTGTGCATATTTTTTGTATGCTTGGAAGATTTTTCCCAAAAGAATTTCTTTTAAGTGGTCTACATTAGAAATGCCTACCAGTGTTTTGATACAGGAGCCCTATCCTGCTGCTTGTTTGGAACCTGCTGCAGGGGGTACAAGGGTGTCCAGCTGTTGGCGATGTCCTGTATTAATCAACCATTCATAAAACTTGTTCTCCACAAGTATCTGGAACTGCTTCCTTTGATCCCTAAAATTGCAATTAAGAGCAAAAAGAATATAAGAACACCAATTCATATAAATTTTATTCCAGGTGATTATATAACACTTTAATGGGATAATGCTAAATGATTAATTATTTCTAATTATCCCTTTGTTCTCACTCTGTTCAGAGTCCATTGTACCACCACCACCACCACCACAACAAAAAGGATTGGTCACAAACAATGCCTTCTTTGTAAAGACTTATTGTCAGATATTTACTGAGGACCAAGTGAATGCTGGGGTAGAGTTCTGACTGATGGGGATAAAAATATAAGGAAAAGAGAAGAGACAAGGCCCCTGTCCAGGGAGGATGGCACTGCATGATTCCAGAGGGCACCACTGAAATTCACATTGTGATCTATGTAGTCTATGGCCCTGTGAACTGTATATTCTAGTAGGGAAGATAGGTAATAAATAAAGTAAATATATGATATAAAGTTAAGTAGTTATAAGTGCCCTGAAGAAAAATAGAGAAGGATAAGGAATGGAGAGTATTGGGAATGCTATGTTAGAATCACAATGGACAGAGAAGGCCTCTCTACATGACATGTGAGCAGAAGTCTGAATGAAGTGATGAAGTAAGCAAATGAATATCTGGAGAGAAACCAGGCAGAAGGAACAAAACTACAAAGGTTTTCAAGTGAAATCATATTTAATATGTTTAAGAGAAGAAAGAGAAGAAGAGCTCCTGATAGGCAGGAGCTAGCTTAGCACTATTAGGCTGACCTTAGTGTAGCTAGGATCTAGCCCAGTCATGGTATTCTTCTGTTGAACATAAACAATCCCACAGGACACCAACGCCACTCTGGGATAATGACATACCAAGACAAAAACAAGACCACTCCATAGTCATATCTCAGTACAGACAAAAAGAAAAAATTTGTGGTCCAAACCACAAAAACGACCAAACATCACCCTTTCCTGGCTAATGAGTGAACAATTATAGTTTTAGCTCTACTTTATTTCTCTCACCTAAGATATAAAAATTATTGTTACTAAATCATAGAATTACTCTTGCTTCCAGATAGCCCTGCTTCTTAGAATTCTCCCCCAAATCACCTAACATAAGCCAAAATCCAATGATAAGTCCTCTTTAACTTGCTTTTACTGGTATGAAGCACATTTCTCCATGTTCCCCAACCTTTTACTGAGATGAAACACAGTTCTCTCCCTCCTTGCAATGAGTCAATATACCATCCATCTTTGTTCTACAGATGTGTTCCTGGTGGTCTTTGGCCAGAGGGCAATGACTAAGTAATAGCAAGAAGACTGTTGTATGGTGGGAGGGAGGGAATGAAGAAAAGAATGGTAGAAAATGAGGAAGAGAAAGCCTGGTAGGTATGGTAAAGTCTCTGGATTATATTCCAAGTATGATGGAAAGCCATTAGAGGTGTCAGAGCAGGAAAACCACATGATCTAGTAACTTTTTAAAGAAACATGCTCTCAGTTTGTTTTCAAACTGATTTGTCTTCCTATATTCCCAAAGTTAAATTGACTACTTTCATTGTTTCTAATGTCACCATGGATCTCATTCCCGGAAAACATTATAATTCAGAATCAACATTAAGTGCTTACCACATCCCACACTCTGCACATGTAAGCTTTTCACATATGCAAAAGAATCTAGGCATCTAAACACTAAAAGCATTCAAACAAGAAAATTGCTTTAAAAGGATGTTTATTCAATGACCATTTATTTTTATATCACATTATCATGTTATTCTTATATGATGTGATATATGATAAAAGTTGAAAGAAAATAACAAAGACATTAGAGGCAGTTAAGAACCTCTGTGTTGAGATACTTTCCTTCTATACCTAATTTGCTGAGAGTCTTTATCATGAAGGGATATTGAATTTGGTCAAATGCTTTTTCTGCATCTATTGAGATAATCATATGGTTTTTGTCCTTGATTTTGTTGATGTGATGTATCACATTTACTAACTGGTGAATGCTGAACCATCCTTGGATCCCTGGGATGAATCCCACTTGATCATGGTGTATAATTTTTTTGATGTGTTGCTATATTTTGATTGCTAATATTCTGTGGAGGATTTCTGCATCTATGTTCATCAGAGATATTGGCCTTAGTTTTCTTTTTTTGTTGTATCTTTGGTTTGGTAGCAGGGTGATACTGGCCTCATAGAATGAGTTTGGGAGAATGACTTCTGTTTCAATTTTTTTGAATAGTTTTAAGAGAATTGTATTAATTCCTCTTTAAAGATTTAGTAGAATTTAGCAGTAAAGCTATCTGGCCCTGGACTTTTCTTTGTTGGGAGACTGCTGATTACTGCTTCAATCTTGTTGCTTGCTATTGGTCTGCTCAGGTTTTCCATTTCTTCTTGGTTCAGTCTTGGTAGTTTCCATGTGTCCAAAAACTTATCCATTTCATCCAGGTTTTCAAATTTGTTGATGTATAGTTGTTTATAGTATTCTCTAGTAATTCTTTGTATTTCTGTGGTATCAGTTGTAATGTCTCCTTTTTCATTTCTGATTTTTGTTATTGCATCTTCTCCTTTTTTTAGTTAGCCTATCTAATAGTTTGTTTATTTAATTTATCCTCTCAAAAAACTTTTTGTTTCATTGCTCTTTTGTATCATTTTTGGGGTCTCTATTTCATTTAGTTCTGCTCTTATCTTATTTCTTTCCATCTACTAATTTGGGGATTGGATTGTTGGATAGTATCTCAACACAAATAAAAATCACATATGACAAAACCACCACCAATATCATTCTGAATAAGAACAAGACAAGGATGTCCACTCTCACCACTTCTATTTCACTCCTGTTTAGTACTGGAAGTACTAGCCAGAGCAATCAGGCAAGAGAAAGAAATAAAGGGCATCTCAATTGGAAAAGACAAAGTCAAACTGTCTGTGTTTGCAGATGACATGATCCTATATACAGAAAAAACTAAAGACTACCCTTAAACTCTTAGAGCTGATAAACGATTTCAGTAAAGTTGCAGGATACAAAATCAATATGCAAAAATCAATAGTTTTTATACTCCAACAACAAACTAGTGGAAAAAGAAATCAAGAAAGCAAGCCCATTTACAATAGTTGCCAAAAAAATAAAATTCCTAGGAATAAATTTAACCAAGGGAGTGAAAGATCCGTACAATGAGAACTACAAATCACTGCTGAAAGAAACTAAAGAGGACACAAAAAGATGGAAAAATATTCCATGCTCTTGGATTGGAAGAATTAACACCATGAAAATGTCCATACTACTCCAAAGAGATCTACAGATCCAATGCGATCCCCATTAAAATATCAATGACATTCTTCACAGAAATAGAAAAAAACAATTCTAACATTCATATAGAAAACCAAAGCCAAAGCAATCCTGAGCAACAAAAATAAAGCTGGGAGCCTAACACTACCTGACTCCAAATTATTCTACAAAGCCATAGTAACCCAAACAGCATGGTACTAGCATAAAAACAGACACTCAGACCAATGGAACAGAACAGAGAACCCAGAAATCAACTCACATACTTACAGGCAATTGATCTTTGACAAGGGCAACAGGAGCACACACTGGGGAAAGGACTGTCTCTTCAATAAGTGATGCTGGGAAAACTGGTCATCCATATGCAGAAGAATGAAATTAGACCTATACTTCTCACTGTATACCAAAATTAATTCAAAATGGATTAAAAACTCATAAATAAGACCTGAAACTGTAAAACTCTTAAAAGAAAACATAGAGGGCTGGCCCGCAGCTCACTTGGGAGAGTGTGGTGCTGATAACACCGAGGCCCCGGGTTCAGATCCCACATAGGGATGGCCAGTTAGCTCACTGGCTGAGCATGGTGCTGACAACACCAAGTCAAGGGTTAAGATCCCCTTACCGGTCATCTTTTTAAAAAAAAGAAAAAAAAAGAAAACATAGAGGAAAGACTTCAGGAAGTAGGACTGGGCAAAGACTTTATGAATGAATAAGACCCCAAAAGCACAGGGAACAAAAGGAAAAATAAACAAATGTGATTATATCAAACTAAAAACCTTCTGCACAGCAAATGAAACAACACAATGAAAAGACAACCTGCAGGGTAGGAGAAGATATTTGCAAACTCTGCATCCATCCCACAAGGGATTAATAAGTATCCAGAATATACACGGAACTCAAACAACAGTAAAAAAAAAAAACCAAGTAACCTGTCTAAAAAATGGGCAAAGGAGCTGAATTGGCATTTCTCAAAGGAAGATATACAAATGGCCAATGGACACATGAAAAAATGCTCAACATCACTAAGCATCAGGGAAATGCAAATCAAAACCACAGTAAGATATCACCTCTCACCAGTTACACTGGCCATTATCAAACAGACACAGAATAATAAATGTTGCAAGGATGCAGAGGAAGAACTCTTCTACACTGTTGGTGGGAGTATAAATTAGTGCAGCCATTATGGAAAAGAGTATGGAGGTTCCTCAAACAACTACAGATAGAATCACCATATGATCCAACAATCCCACTGCTGGGTGTATATCCAAAGGAATGGAAATCATCATGTGGAAAGGATACCTGCTCTCCCATGTTTATCACAGCTCTACTTAAAATAGCTAGGAGTTGGAACCAACCATCAATGGATGACTGGATAAGGAAAATGTGGTATATATATACAATGGAATACTACTCAGCCATAAAAAGGAATACTACTCTGCCATAAAATTCCACAATGGAATGCCATTAGCTGCAACATGGATGAAGTTAGAGAAAATTATGTTAAGTGAAATAAGCCAGGCACAGAAAGAGAAATAGCACATGTCCTCACTCATAAGTGGAAGCTAAAAAAAATACAAATAAACAAATAAAGAAAGAAAAATACAACAATCACAACAATTCGTTGAACTTTCAAAAGGAGAGACTGGAACTGAGGCCAGCAGAGGTAGGAAATGGGGAGGGGAAGGTGGGGTAGTGAGAAATTGGTAAAGGGCCACAAAAAAATGGTTACATGTGTAATAATAAAC